GTCACATAGATGGTCAAAACAAACATATCAGTTGCTCTAATTCAGCACTCTGATCCAAACTGCTGACTTGTGAGCTAAGACTAAAAGTTGGCCTGTTAAACAGTCAAGCCTCCTTACGAAAAGCTGCTTATACCATGCTTCATTAACATTTCTATGAATATCATATCCATACATTATATAGCTTTACTGCAACTTTACTGTCATGGTTTAACCCCAGCCAGCAACTAAGCACCACGCAGCCGCTCACTCACTCCCCCCCATCCACTGGGATGGGGGAGAAAATCAGGAAAAAGAAGTAAAACTCCTGTGTTGAGATAAGAACGGTTTAATAGAACAGAAAAGAAGAAACTAATAATGATAATGATAACACTAATAAAATGACAACAGCAATAATAAAAGGATTGGAATGTACAAATGATGCGCAGGGCAATTGCTCACCACCCGCCGACCAACACCCAGCTAGTCCGAGTGGTGATTCCCTCCCCCACTTCCCAGTTCCTATACTAGATGGGACGTCCCATGGTATGGAATACCCCGTTGGCCAGTTTGGGTCAGCTGCCCTGGCTGTGTCCTGTGCCAACTTCTTGTGCCCCTCCAGCTTTCTCGCTGGCTGGGCATGAGAAGCTTAAAAATCCTTGACTATAGTCTAAACTCTACTGAGCAACAAGTGAAAACATCAGTGTTATCAACATTCTTCACATACTGAACTCAAAACATAGCACTGTACCAGCTACTAGGAAGACAGTTAACTCTATCCCAGCTGAAACCAGGACATTTACTTATTTAAAGACATTATGCCGCTTTTCCTTACAGTGAGTAGTATCTTCTTGATTAGGCTTACTGGCATCAAGGTTTCCTGTGAATAGAACATCATTTAACCCCAAGTAAACGTGACAGAATTAGGGTTAAAAATATTGCTTTAATTTTGCTATCTGCTGCATGCCCCTTAAAAATAATGAAAATGTGTAAAAGAATTGCCTATAGTCTGATAGTATTCATTGAAAACGAAAATCCACAATGATCCTTGAGTGTGAAATATAGATTAAACATTTAATATAAAAGCTGAAGTTTGAATAAACACTACTTTGGTTTTTGTAAGATTTATATCCAATCACAGCTTCAACACTTCCATTTCAAAGGCTGAAGAGGAAAAAAACAAACCAAAACATTTACAAGTACTTCCCCAGAAATACATTTCCTTAAGATTCACTGATATAAAAGCACCACACTTTTGGTTTTCAGAATTTATCATGAGACAACAAAAATACACAACAAAATAACTGAAAACAAAGATCAAAAAAAAGCAACCCTATATAAATTCCTAGTCACAGAAAAGACAACGTTCAAAAATGTTTGGGGTTGTTTGATGTGGTTTTTTTAAAAGTAAGAAGAAAAGTAGTATAAAACCCCTAAACACCTCTTATGCATGAAAATCGGTACCTTAGTCCTGAAGCATACATAACAGGGTAAAAATTTGCAGTAAGGTAATATTCAGTGTGACAATACCACAATTAAGTCTGGTTAAAAGTTATTTGCAATATACCTGATTCAATACAATGTAAAACTTGAAGGTCTGCAGTGGCAATTCTTTCCTCATCAGTTATGAAACATTACATCAATAACCAGCACAGATTGATCACAGAACTGAAGGCCCACAGGACCAACAGTCAGAGATGGATCTCAAATTCTGATATGGCATTAGTGAAAAAGAAATAAGATCAGCTTTTGCATTTCAAAACAGATGTACTTTAACAGTGAAAAACAAAGCATAAATGCGTACTTACAGAAGAAAAAATGCTGCTAAAATTGCTGGTTTTAAAGCTCAGATTGATGACCAAAGCATCTTATTTTCTTGGAAAAGTCTTCTATTTTCATTGGCAAGGAGTTTTTAAAACATTTACATCAGGGCAGAAAACTATGCTCACACAAAAACTTTCAAACCAGACCTAATGCTAAATTCATTTTGCATTATTTTTTACATTCATTTATACATCTTATGAGAAAAGTTTCCTGTGTCATTTATTTACATTATCTAAAACCAGCAGAAAGTGTGTAAGACTAACTGCTATATCTGCATTACATGTATTTGAACATTTAAACAAATAAAATAACTATGCATTGTTTTATCAAACATTAAAATATACTAGGAATAGGATAAAATATCACTGCGACCTAAAGCAAATATGCCATTTGCCACAAGAATTAGCTCCTAATTCTGCAGATCTCACCTTATGCATAGAAATAAGCAAACTGATTAGTTGCAGTGTTTTATAAGGACTGTTTTTATTTCCTTCTCCCTTCTCCCTCCCACCTCAATGGCATTTCTGCTTCTCTAGTTTATGCTGTAACAGACACAAACACTAATAAACTTCTAAGTCTTTCCATTTGATACACTTGAATTAGCATGGCACTGTCATTCTGCCCTGGCTCACAAGTAAAGCACTTGTTGGCTGCCAGCACTAGCATGCAATGTACAACTTATAAGGGTATACAGTTAAGTAAGAATAAAGGTATTATTCAGCAAATGAGTTTGGTGACCTCCAACTTGCAGAGCATCCCTCTTCTTTCACACAGAAAGTTGGAGTACTATTAGAATATATTACCATTAAGTTAGATTTTGATCATTTATATTTTAGTTCTAGTGTATCAATCCCTTTTTTAAATAAAATTATGACTGTCAGCATTTACTGTATACCGTATTACCCTTTTCTATATCCCATTAAGGCTAATTCCAAACAAAATAGAATGGAATTATTTAGTACAAAAAGTGTCCATTATTTATCCCTTTCATGCATCATTTAAAGACTTCATGTCGGCAACTGAAAACATTCATGTTGATCTCACAAAGAGCAGACAATATATTATGCATACTGCCCACTGATTTATCCTTTCAGAAAGTCTCTGGCAGGCCACTTACCAATACTGCCCCTCGCTGTCTCAAATATAAATAGAAGTGCTTCTTAAATATATGAATAAATAATAATTGCCTATGGTTCAAATCAGCAGGCTGTTAAAACCAATATCCTGTGTCACATCAGCTGGTACCAGATGCTTCAGAGAAATGTATTCTTGAGTGGACTACTCTGAAGCAGTACATCCATTATTGAGAAGTCTTCCTAAACTCTTTCTTAGGCTGACTTATCTATGGATGTATTTGGCTTTCGTCATGCTTAAAACAACATTCCACCTCCCCACCCCGCCAACTACATACATTGCCCATGCAAATAGCTATTCACTTTTTAAAAAATCCTATTTGGTCTTCAAGCAGAATGACTTTGTAGCAACAAGCCTTACAACACTGCCTTTTTAGGAAGTCAAGGACAAACTGCACATCATGTAACTTCCATGAGACACTGGAACAGGTTGCCCAGGTAAGTTGTGGATGCCCCGTCACTGGAAGTGTTCAAGGTCAGGCTGGACAGGGCTTTGAGTGACTAGTGAAAGATGCGCCTGCCCACGGCAGGGAAGCGGGACTAGATGACCTTTAAAGGTCCCTTCCAACACAAACCATTCTATGATTCTAGGATTCTGAAGTCTTTGACTTGCCAGCCTAAGACCACTAGCAAAGTTTGTCTACAACACAGAGAGCAGTTAAGTTTCTGAAGATCAGAACTCCTCGGGTTTGGTTCTAGGACAAATTCCAATTTCAAGAAGGCAACTTCATATGTACAAGCTACGTCAACAAGTTCCACAGGATTATCCATGTGTGAATTATTCATGAATACGCACTTACAGAATCAGGATCTTAGCATTTACAAGAATAATAGTTTTTGCTTGCATTTCTTAACAAGTAATGGAAAAAACAGGATGAATTTTAAATTGTTCTAAGGGCAATTTTATTGCCACTATAATAACCCCACTTAAATAACAGCCAGTTATTTTCCAATGAATAGTGCAAATAATTATTTTGTTAGTCAATTATCAGGATGATGACTATTGCATTTTATGGTCAAAAAAAAAAAAGCCTAAAAAAACCCCACCCAAACCAAAATCCAACTTAACCAAAACTCTCCAGCAGCAACAGCTTGTACTGTGCTATTTAACTGGCTTTACTCCAGTAGCTTAAATTTAAGAGTCAGCTTTATGTAGAAATGCAGTAAGTGAAAACTGGGAAAAAAATCCCACACCTACAGCTGTCACCTAAAATTAAACACAACATTTTTCTCCAAATCCCAAGTGTACTTTCAAAAAGGTGCCATGTGATCATATTTAGCTACTGCACTGCAGTTAAGAACAAGTTTAATCTACAACAGATAAACTAAATTCTTTCATTCAAACATGTTAAAAAATTTAACAAAGGTGAAAACCAGGTATAATTATCTACAAGTGTCTAAACAGTAATTATTTATTTCACTTTAAGAGCAACCTGTAACTTATGAACATTTTCTTCTTGCCCTTGTTATAATTTGCAACATAGGCAAAAAGAAATAAACTACACATATTTTGGAGGGTGGAAAACACCACTCTAAACCAGAGAGACTGGTGTTAGAAAGAATAGTTCTATGCAGAGAGATGTGCGCTATTGGAATAGTACCAACAAGCTGGCTTGTGCAAAACAGTAGGTGATCTTAACCATCTCCAAGGAGATTGATTAAATGGCTCCAATCCAGTTTAAAATGCTTATCATTTTACTGAGTTACTCGGCAAACATGACAATATTCCATGCCTGTAGCAATATTATTTTTTTTTAAATAGAACTGGGTCAAATTTTAAAGCTGTTATAACACATAAAGAACCAAAAATACTTAAAAAAAAAAAAGTAGTTACAAAGAAATATATTCATAATGTCACATACCATTCCTCATTAAAAAGGTCCTGCGTTAACCAAATGTACTTATTTCAACAACCAGAATAAGGCATTAAGATTAGATAATTGGATAGTGTTCTTGAAAGTTTACTTATTTTACTTGTATTAACATAGTTATAGAAAGGGTTTAACTATTTTTGGCACATATAAAATAAATAGCATGCAAGAAAGTAAACAATAAAAATGTACTTACGAAATCAAAGTCTCCATCTTGAGGGACTTTCCAGTTATCAGGGAAAACGTTTTTGGATATGTGGTAAGGTTCATGCATGTTCTGATTACAGTTTTCAGGGCTTTTATTCTTGGAATCTTGTTTATCAAAGTAGTCCATGAATGAAGGTCTTTGAACTTGCGGTGAAGTAGCATTTCCTTGGTTGAAAGAAAAAAGAAAAAAAAAGTTTAAATTATTTAAAGATTTACTGCACTATAAAATAAACTCCATTTATTAATTTTCTTGGATTTTACAGAAACTAATACAGTCATCTGTATGTGGTGCAAGCCTCCGTTTGTCCCCTGAGGATCTTTGGCATAAAAGCTCATAGCCGAAGAATGATATTTTTGTAGCAAGATACAATGTGGAGAAATGTTCAAGACATTTCAGAGTTGCACACACAAATAATACTAGAAGTTACTTCATGCGATATCTATTTGTTGTTATAGAGACTGAATAACACAAGGTGCTAAGCATCCCTTTGGGTGCTGAATGCCCCTAACGTCAAGGCCTGGTACACACTTGTAGGAAAGCAACAGAGTTCCATCAGTTTCACCAAAGGTGCGATTTAAAAATTATTTAGAAAAAGAACTTGCAAAAAACAACCACACAAACTGTGTCTAGACACCGCTTAATTATTAAATTCATTGCCAATGAGGTTTCTCATCAAATTATGAAATCACACTCTACAGATGGCTGCAAAGCACCCTATCTCCATGGTGTGGAAACCCTGGGGGATTTTTGTCATCATCTACGCAGCTGCAAAAGCTTTATGAAACAGATCGAAATCAGTGTGAACTCCCATTCTATTATCCTTTTCATGAAACTAAATGTAAAAAAAATATCTATAACCCTAAATGACTGAAATTTGTTTTCATTTGTGGGATTTCAAAACAAATTCATTACAAAATAGAACAATAAATAAAACATAAGAAATGCTTTAGTAGTTCTACATAATTGTCACCTCAGAGACTATATTCTGCATTGCACTGACTCATGAAATGTGTACTTGTTTGCAGGGTAACACATTCTACATAGAGCAATATGAAATACATTTCCACAAGTAAAATATGAAACAGGATGAGAGATACAAATAACTAAGCTGGAAAAAACCCAAACCAAACAACAACAACAAAAAAAATCAAAAAACAACCCACAGGCAGAACTATAGTTTTTAATTATAAGCATAATAAAATAATTAGGAATTTTTATTTGAACCACTTGTTTTAACAAGTGAAAAGGTAAACAACTGGAAATATGTTTTGAGCTTGTGCTTAACATGATCACTAGGACTTGCTGATCTTCTTATCTGGCTTTACATTTGTTTTTATTAATTCATTAAGTGGTTATTTCCCCCCCCCTCCTCCTTCACCTCTTATTTCATCATGTCTTCCCATTCCCTCTGTTTAAAGATTTCTTAATTCATTCTAATTTTAATGCAAGATTAATAGCTTCCTATTTTTTTCATGAATGCTTATTTTTGTACTGCCATCTTTTATAGCATATTGATTTACCTGTTCTTTTCTTTCTGCTTTTTCTACATCATTCTGTTCTAGTAAGATTTCTTCTGGCTTTTTTTTAACGTGTTCTTCTACTGTCTTGCTCTAGGCTTTACTGTACTTGACTCCGGTTGCTTCTCTTCAACTCCAACATGATCCCTCCATTTAGTCTGCCATGTTTCCATACACACTTCCTCCTCGCATTTTTTTTTAGCTGATTTTTCTCTCAGTTGTTGCCATGTTCTTTTCTAATATTCTTTTCGAATCCCAGATCATAGTTATCTCTACTAATCTTTTAAATAATGACAACCATGACCATAACAAAAACATTCAGTGAACTAAACTCCAGGTTGAATTTAACAGACCACACAGCAGATACCTTTTCTCCAGAATCTCCCAAGTTTGCCCCACTGAACTGAAGATCATTTGAGTGAGCTTTCTGGATCTCTGGAGTCTGAGACTGAGGAAGGGATGAGAAGTAAACAGCTGGGATGCCAAATAACTACAGAAATAAGCACTAAAGGGCAAAAACTGAAGAATCTAAACTTTAGCAAAGCACAGGTTTAGAAAACAGATCCAAGGGAAGGTAATAGTATGAAGGAGGTGGAATTAAAAACAGAAATACCATGCGTTTTCTTAATACAAACTTTTTATTACTTGTTGATCACTGCCCAAAACCCCTGAAATTATTTGTACCAAAAAGATAGGACACCACATTGCTGGCCTTTCACAACCAATTTTTTTCTTCTGCTGAGATGGTTGTACTTATGTTTCATCCTTGAGACATACTTATAAACAAGAAGATTACCACTGTCTCTGTTAGAAACTCTAAGTACCAAATTGTTGGCCCGTTACAGGTAAGGTAGTCTCACTCCTCTCATGTAACAGAAAATACTAAAGATTTTCCAAGCACTGCTCTTATATTTTAGAGCTATTTATAAATATCTTCCTTATATATGTAACAGAAGACTGCCTACATATGTAAAACAAACCAACCCCTCCAAATTCCTTGCTATCAAATGCATAATAAGGAAAGTGGGCCAACAGGACTGAAATTACTGGAAAATGAGCAAAGTACATTTATTTTACACTTTGAGGACTTGTTCTATTTGTTTTGATAAATAAGAATTTAGAACTCACTTCTGATTCCAATTTAGTATACAGTTAGTTAACCCACTTAAAAGAACAAGAGCTGCTTACCTTCACTGCAAACATAAAAACTCACACACAAAACAGGACTATTATGCCTGCAAAACAATGGGACCAAAGGTGTTTCAAGATTTGTTTGCTTTTTCCCCAATGTAAAAACAATGAATGATATATTTAAAGATTTATTTTTAAGGTTTTATTTTACTTTTAGAAATAATTAAAGGAAAAAAGAGAGTCTTTTCAGATCTCTAGCTAACCTAACATAAACAAGTTTAGTTAATATTTCATGAAAAATGGGTTAGGTTGACACCTACTAGTTTAAAGGCCCTGTGAAGGCTCCTATCTCTTTTGTACTGACTTTATAAAACACTCAGGCTCTTTATGCCAGAGTAAACTGATGTGGATTACACTTTTTTTGCAAAATGTAAGGTTATTAGAAGATCATTTTGGTCTGAAAGCACTTCTAACTTTCATGAACAACAGAGTAACAGTATCTTGTCAACTGTCTTTCAAGAATCACAAAATTTACAAGGACAATACATAAAGATTCCTTTAAGGACAATTAATTCACTCAACTATCCAGTAAGTTACTTTTTACACAAGCCATATATTTGCCACAAAAAATCTGCAGCACAATCAGTATCACTCCACACTTGCACTGAAAACTTATTGCACAATAGACTGTTCCATTCTAGGAGGATTTGGATTTTCCAGTTCTTCCCATTTTTCTTTGCTCTTCAGCAAAAGGTGATCATGTTTAAAAATGTTTGCCACAGTTTCAACATTTACGAATATCAGTCTCTTAACAACCCTAGACTTGCCCACTGCAGGACTTCAAGATGACTTTGGGAAGAAAGCCACAATAAAAACAGCAACCTGAGAAATTTCTGGCAAGCCATGGAATGCAGAGACCACCATGGACACTGAAAACATACGTTCTACCTCAGCAATACAGCTGATAAGAATACAGCCAATGGGGATGTCCCCAAATAGTTACATAAGAGAATTTCTTCCAAAAAGTATGTTGGATAAAATGAATGAGGCAATGATATAACACACCACCAACTCTGTTTCAAAAACATATCATAACTAAAATAAAAACCTCTAAATACACATTTCAAAATAAGAAGGAATGCACATTCCATTCTACTGCATGTTTTGATCAAATTAAATTGATGTCATCTATAAATAAAAATGCTTTTGTAGTGATGTATTTGCAACAGAAAAGTATTATATTAATATTAAATTGATTTTAAATCTGTTAAAAGTTCTGCTGCTAATTGTTAAGTTTTTATACTCTATGTTGGGCTGAGCCATGTATACGTTCCCCCATGCTGGTCTGGCTAACTCAGGGCCAGCTTGTTGGCCAAAACCACTCTTGCGTTACTTCATCAGCTGGAACCCATCTATCCACAGCAGTCTCTGATCCTCAAAGACGGCCCCATGATCACAGAAGTCAAACCTCTGTCAACAACACTAGAGGCACAACCAAGTGTTGACCCAGAGGATCCATCCATTCCTCCAAGGCTTTCCCTTCACCATCATGATCAAGACCACCCTCACAAACCTAGAGTTACTCTCGAGGTCACTCTCAAGGTCTCGTCTAGCAGTATCACTGACGCATGCCCACGTGGATGGGCAGCAGGAGACAATAGTCTAAGCACTGGACAAGCCCTGGCAGTCTTTCAGCATTTTGGGACTGGGCCCTGGGCAAGAAATAACTTTCCCTAGATAGCAAGGAAGGTCAGCAGATAAGGGCATCCATCTCCTACAAGGGCGAGTCTCCCACTACAATTTCCTGGGAGGGAGCAGGTGGTGGTGGTGGTGGTGGTGTTTTGTTTGTTTGTTTGTGGTTTTTTTACAATTTCCTATGGGAAGTCTCTAAGTCTTTCTCTTGCTCTGTTACTACTGGGGCACCAGACCTCTTCTGCAGCTCCAAATCTACAGAGGAAAGCTTTCCTCCTTTTGCCAAAAGCCACAAGCTTCCACAGCCTTCCCCATCCCTCCTGGGGATCTCCATCTGCCACTCGATTGAGGAACATGTCCAGCTGCTGCCTCTTTGGTGAAGTTAGGGGATCAGGCTCTCCTGTCTGCAGTGCTTCCATGAAGATCCTGTCAGTATCTTTATTCCCTCAAAATACATTGCTTTGTCACTATTAGAGCAAGAAGCTGTATTGCAATCAGCTTTTAGCATTATTTGGACTATCACCTCTACTACAAAGGCTACAACAGCTTATACAACAATATATACTGCTTAGGCTTTATATTTCCTACATTCCTACCACTACTTTCTTACCACAAAAGGTGGCCTACAACACAGTGGCAGTAATTCTCCTGAGAAATGGGAGACAGCTTTGAATATGATAAGGTTGAAGAGAGCCTAGAATCTTGACTTCAATGTCCAGGCAAGCGCACTTAACAGTGAACTACCATGTAGAAGGCTGCCACAGCCACTTCCTTCAGCCATATTTTAAGCAGAAACTGTGACTGTATTTTATGAGTGGGTGAGT